CACCCGCCATCCCCCCTCACCTGCCACCCCCTGGCCACCACCACCCACCCTTCGCCACCACCAACACCCACCTACCACCCACCTGCCACCATCTGCCACTACCGTCCACAGCCCGCCAGCGTGTAGACGTCCCCGAACGCCCCGTCTGACAAAGCAAATCAAATTCCACCCTCCGGGGCAATCAGAATCTACTTTTCAGGGACAGGGAGTAATTTCTCCATCGTATGTGATTTCTGCAGCAAGGGCTTGTAAATTAATTCAGAAAGGGTGTCAAGGGTACTTATGTAGTGTCTTGGAAGGGCCAATAATGAATGAGAATACTGATGCGATCCCAGTTGTCTGTGAATTTCCGAACGTCTTTCCGGAAGAATTGCCAAGAGAATTAGTGGACCGTGAAATCGAGTTCACGATTGAAGTGTTACCGGGAATCCAACCTATTTCTAAAACCCCGTATCGAATGGCACCAGCTGAAATGAGGGAATTGAAGACTCAGTTGCAAGACCTACTGGATAAGGGGTTTATCCGCCCGAGTGTTTCTCCGTGGGGTGCACCAGTCCTGTTTGTGAAAAAGAAAGACGGAACACTCCGATTATGTATAGACTACCAGGAGCTTAATAAGGTAACAATCAAGAATAAGTACCCATTACCGCGGATTGACGACTTGCTTGATTAGTTACAAGGAGCACAAGTCTTCTCGAAAATTGACCTACGGTCCGGGTACCATCAATTAAAAGTTAAAGCTGGTGATGTTGAGAAAACAGCATTTCGAACTCGACATGGTCACTACGAATTTCTGGTTATGCCCTTTGGAGTCACTAACGCACCCGCGACATTTATGGATCTGATGAATCGTGTCTTCAAACCTTATCTAGATGAGTTTGTAGTGGTCTTTATTGGCGATATCCTTATTTACTCAAAGAATGCAGAGGCTCATGAAAACCATCTTCGTTTAATTCTTCAAACCCTCTGAGAAAAGAAGTTGTACGCAAAGCTAAAGAAGTGTGAATTCTGGCTACGTGAAGTGGCATTTCTGGGGCATGTTATAACTAAGGAAGGAGTCTCTGTTGATCCAAACAAGATTGAGGCGATCATGAACTGGCCGACTCCGACGAATGTGACTGAAGTGCGTAGTTTTATGGGGTTAGCCGGATATTATCGGAGATTTGTTCAGGATTTTTCCAAGATTGCTGTACCACTCACACAGTTGACTAAAAAGGGAGTTGCATTTGAATGGTCAGAACAGCGGGAATCTGCTTTCCAAGAATTAAAGATGAAGTTAACTACAGCTCCGGTCCTTGCACTACCATCTGGTACTGAGGGATTTGTGCTTTACAGTGATGCTTCACATAAGGGACTTGGTTGTGTGCTTATGCAAAACGGGAGGGTTATCGTTTATGCCTCTCGATAACTTAAACCTCATGAGAAGAGTTACCCCACGCATGATCTTGAAATAGCCGTAGTAGTTTTTGCTTTAAAGATTTGGCGGCATTATCTGTATGGGACTACTTGTGACATTTATACCGACCATAAAAGTCTCAAATACCTTTTCACCCAAAAAGAGTTGAATATGCGCCAGCGGTGGTGGTTGGAGCTTATTAAGGATTATGATTTGAAGATCCACTATCATCCTGGTAAAGCCAACACGGTGGTAGACGCACTTAGTCGGAAAAATGTGGGAAATTTGGCAAGTCTATTGACAGAGAAAAAGGAGTTGGTAAGTGAGCTGAATAAGATGGGGGTCGACTTGGTGATACATGGTCAAAAAGCAACAGTGGCAACAATGATGGTCCAACCGACATTACTTGAGGAGATTAAATTACGCCAACTGGAAGATGGGGCTCTAAAGAAGATACGCGATGAAATGGAGACAAAACCAAAACTGGGGTTCACTTTGACGGATTCTGTACTTAAATTTCAAAACCGAGTATGTGTCCCTAATGTGTTAGAACTTAAATGGAAGTTGATAGAAGAAGCACATGTCTCAAGAGTTTCAATGCATCCAGGAAGTACTAAAATGTACCGGGATTTGAAGCAAAATTTTTGGTGGCCAAGTATGAAAAAAGAAATCGCAGAGTTTGTTTCTAAGTGTTTGCAATGTCAGCAGGTAAAAGCAGAGCATCAGAAACCCGCAGGATTATTACAACCTCTTCCAATTCCAGAGTGGAAATGGGAACATCTGACAAAGGATTTTGTTGTAGGCTTACCACGGACACCTCGAGGTATGAATTCTATATGGGTCATTGTCGACCGATTGACTAAGTCCGCCCACTTCCTACCTGTGAAGACCCAGTATAATGCCGATAAACTTGTTGTGATCTATGTGAATGAAATTGTAAGGCTTCACGGTGTTCTGGTCTCAATTGTGTCAGATAGAGATCCAAAATTTGTTTCAAGATTCTGGCAAAGTCTACAGGAAGCAATGGGTACAGAATTAAAGTTTAGCACAGCTTTCTACCCTCAAACAGATGGACAATCCAAGAGGACGATTCAGACGCTAGAGGATATGCTTCGAATGTGTGTTCTGGATTTTCAGGAAAGTTGGGAAACTCATCTACCGTTGGTTGAGTTCGCGTATAATAATAGTTACCATTCGAGTATTGAAATGGCACCCTATGAAGCTCTGTATGGAAGACCGTGTCGTTCTCCCGTGTGTTGGGCTGAGGTTGGAGATAGGCCATTGTTAGGGCCAGAGATTGTCCAGTTGACAACTGTAAAGGTTAGAATTATTCAAGAAAGATTGAAAACTGCCCAAAGTAGATAGAAGAGTTATGCAGATAACCGGTGAAGGAATTTGGAGTTTGACGTGGATAGTCATGTTTTTGTGAAAGTTACCCCAATGAAAGGACATCCAAGATTTGGAAAAAGGGTAAGCTGACACCCGATATGTTGGTCCCTTTCAGATCCTAGAAAAAGTGGGTCCAGTAGCCTGCCGAGTTGCCCTTCCGCCACATATGAGTCAGATTCATAACGTGTTCCATGTTTCTATGCTTCGAGGATACCTTCCAGATCCGTCACATGTCATCGATTATCACCAAATTGTGTTGACTGACAAGTTAACATACGAGGAAAAACCAATTCGAATTCTGGACCGTCAAGTGAAACAGTTACGGAACTGAGAAATTCCAATGGCAAAAGTGGAATGGCAAGAGCACTACGGAACTGAGGCAACTTGGGAAAAAGAAGACGAAATGTAACACCAATATCCACATCTGTTTCCGTTCTAAGGTAAAACAAGTTTGGAGGAACAAACTTATTTAAGGGGGGGAGAGTGTAATAACTCGACCCTCGTACATGATTCTGGTATCTTTTCGGTTCTCTATTCTGTGCTTTTGAATGCTTGTTGTGAAATTCTGTGTGAAATTACGTTGAATTAAGTAAAACTTGGAAATATGGATTCCTATCTGTTGAACAAGAAAATTATCTGTCGCACTTAAACTGTTTGAATCCAGAATTGGAAGCCTTAGAGACTTAAGTTTTCGAAATTGATTTGATATTTGAAATCTGCATGATTTTTAAGCTATAATGGGATTTTCTGTGGAATTTCAATTTGGGATGCTTAAACGATTAAATTTTTGTCTTATTCACCCTTAAATAAATATCTCTCCATATATATCAAGTTCCTTGACCATTTGACTTAGAAGCTCCATCTCTTGGAGGGAAAAACAATTAGAGAAGGGTTTTGAGAAGTGGGGAAAGACAAGATCATCAAAGAAGTAAAGAATTGAAAATTTAAAGAGAGATCTAGATAGTGAAGTTCAAGGTAAGCCTAAGTTCCCCAAATTCAATCCTTTCTTTTTAATTTGGAGAAGGAATTGCTTAATATGGTGTAACCTAGAGTTGTGATAAAGAATTGGATTGGTGTGTTGACCTCTTGGTAACAATAATGCTATTATTTCATGATTTTTACTTAATATGGATCACCTAAGAAGAAATCTATAACTTATGTCTTGAATTAACTTGTGTAAATATATGGCTATACATGTGTGTATGTGTATGTGATAGAAATAGATTGTGGTGGTGAATAATTGAAGTAAATCAACTCCATGTTCAAGTGGTTGTGTTTATAGTCTTGTTTACCTAATTTTTCAACCATGTTTTGGTATGTAAAGAACCTATTTTGGACCTCTTGGATGATCACCAAAGAAGGGGTTTTGTATGATTTTTGGACTGCCAAACTGGGGCCAGACCGCAAGTGCGGAGGTCGTGGCCGCACGTGCGGGGAAGAGGAAAAAATTTGCGAAAGCATACTGTTTTTGGCCGCTCGAGCGGTGGAGCGGAGGGTATGGCCGCACGTGCGGCCTAGGTCGGAAATCCCGTTCGCTCCGTTTTACGTGCTTAACCCTCAGCTCTTTTCGAAATTTGTGTTTGATACTTTTTGATGATTGTACATGTAATTGAAATGTAATAACGCAAGAAATGGTTTAAAAAGAGAAAGAAACTAATGTGCGTTATCTATGTGTGTAGGACACACCACAGGAGGAACCACCGCTCCGCAACAACACTGTGAGTAATAGTACACCGAATGTACATTTATTTACTGTTAATATCTGCGATTAAGGTTCTATTTTCTGACAGTTACGACATTAACATATGCGTTGATCGGAACTCAGTGGAAATGTAATGTTAAAAGGATTATGTACATTTCTGTACATTTCTGGGCTGAAAGGCTATTCTATACATTTCTGGGCCGAAAGGCTGTTCAGTATACTTCTGCGTCGAAAGGCTGTTCTGTACATTTCTGGGCCGAAAGGCTGTTCAGTATACTTCTGGGCCGAAAGACTGTTCTGTATTTCTGGGCCAGTAGGCCGTTCTGTTATAACTGTAATACTAGGCCCAAGGACGTTCTGAACGTAAAACAATATCAGACTCACTATTTGGATTTCATTTTTTTGTGAATGCACTGTTATGCATTGTGGTTAAAGTTAGTTATTAAACTGCTTAAGTACTATTATTCACTGAGCTTGTCTCACTCTGTAATTTTGTCTGATTCTGTAGGTAATCAACTTGGGGGTCAGTCGTAGCATCGATATCATCTTTCTTTTGCCAACCTAAGGACAACCAGGCACTTGGAGAAGCTCATTGCATGCTAGTGCAGTTTTGTTAAACTTTGTCATTTTGTACCAATATGTTGTTGGCCAAAGTTGATTGTATCTAATGTTTTGTTGTATGCCCAACTTCTGGGCTGGACTTGTAAATGTGTATGTAACTTAATCTCGGATGCATGTTCACTTTATGTTTACTTCCGAGTTATGGTCCTGGCATATTTGTAGTCGCTCAATGGATGTGTCTGCATGTTATTCTATTATATTAATGCTTCCATTCAGGCCCCAAATATCATATATAGCAGGATAAGTGTCTGTTTCTGATTAGGTCGTGCCCAAGACTTTTAGGGGCGAGTTAGGGGCGTGACATCTACCTTCAAGTCATCTAACTTGGCAGGAGCTATAACGATTCTGGTTTAGACCCAACCCATTTATTGTTTCGGATCCGGGATTCCTTGTCTTATTTGGTTGTTCATATCCTTGTTCATCTTATTCTTCATTGATTTTGGTTGTTTAGATGTCTTTGTTGCATTTGGTATAGGTCGAGAGTTTTTTTTTTTTTTTTTTTTTTTTTTTTTTTTTTTCAATAGAACTATTGCCCAGATTTTGGTCAGTTCGCTTGAGCGCTTCTTTGGCCGCTTGAGCGATCTTTGAGAACTTTCAGTATATTTGCAGGTCTGCAAAAGTAAATGGAGGGTGTTTTTTTTACTTGAGCAGTGTTTCTTGTGCCCGAACGGCCTTGGCTCAAGCGGCATTTCCTGTGCTCGAGTGGAGCCTTTGTTTGCCAAACTACTAGGAGGTGGTGTTCTTTGCTCGACTGGTCTAACTTATTGCGTCTAGTCGCTCAAGTGGTGTTTTGGTCGCTCAAGCAGTCTATGCGTATATTAGTTCGTAACACTCACTTTTTGAGTCACTTTTTCATATCTTTCTCTCTCTCTAAACTTTTCAAAACCCTAAATCTAGACCTTCTCTCTCTAAAACTTATCTTCCACTTCTAAATACTCTCAATATATTGATCTCTACACCCTAGTCCCTTTGATAAAAAAAAGGTAGAGCTCACCTAGAGATTCATTTAAATCAAACCAAATTTGGTTTTCGACTTCGTCAAAGTTTCTTCGCTCTCTCCGTTGTCTTCTAGCTTTGAGGTAGAGATTGCTTCACAGTTTTGTGTAGTTTTTAACTTACTTATTTGATTTTCTAAACAATATTGTGATTTGGGAATTTTTGGATAAACCTAGGGTTTTGGTTTCAAAATCAAAAGAGGGGTTTACAAAATGGTTTCTTGGAAATGATTGTGAGTTTGTAAATGTGGTTAAGTTGCAATAAAATGGTGGATTTTATCCTTGAAATTGATTTATAAAGAAAAAGGAGATTTTTCCTTAAAATGTGAATACTTGATTTTTGTAAAGAGGAAATGGAAATAATGTTGGGTTTCATGGAATTGGACTGGTGATGATAATGATGGTGGAGTTGGATATGCATTATCACTCCCATCTTGAAATTTTGGAAATTTTATCTTTATTAGAAATTATATATCCATGTAGAAATATCTATTTTGGGCTATCGGTGGAGGATAGTTATGATTGTTGTAGAAATTGTATGAGAATTAGGAGAATTGAAACTAATTTCTCATCCATTTTCATTAAGCATTGTTACATACTTATATTGTTTTGAAAAAAATAGGTGAATACCTTTGTGAATCTGGGTAGGGGGTGCGGTTATGGTATTATTGTTGGCCTATGTGTTCTTGGTGAAAGTCCAGAAACTCGCGCGGTTAGATGCCGAGCCTTTCGGTTAGTACTGGTAAAAATGGCAGTTAGTAGTACTTATATAACCTGCTTGGAGACATGTACCTAGAGATTCTCAGTGATTGTATCCACTACCCTATTTTCTATTATAAAGGAAATGATTTCAAGAATTGTGATGTAAACCTGGCATTGCATGGTTTTGGAAAGAGATATAAAATGTTTTGGTACGAGCATTCATATGCATTCACCTTATAGCTTTATTAAGATTCATACACTGTGTTAGAATATCTCGACTAGGCTTTGGCTCACTGTAGACACCCCATTTTTAACCGACCTTAAGACTCAGACGTCATCGATTGAGCGCTCGGTGATTGCACATGTTGTGCTCGTTTCGAGGTTTCGAAGTTCTTGGCTGAGAGCCTCACCTCCGAACCTCGAGACTCTTTGTACTTTGACTCGGTCTGTGGACTAAGTCTTGTTTTCTCTTCCCGGAGGGAGGGAGAGGTCTTGTAGACCATCTCTCAGTGGTCGTAGACTACTTTTCGTGGTCGTAGGCCACTATTCCTCTTTGGAGACTAGTTTCCGATTTTCGGAGCCGTTGGCCGTGCGCCTCGGCTCGGGCCGTTTGGCACAGAACACACCTTGTTTCCTCTGTCTAGAGGGACACTGTGGTTCGGGAGACCACTTTTGTGGTCGTACGCCACCTTCTGTGCTCAACAGCCAGTTTTCGAGGCCCCCGGCCGCGCGCTTTGCCTCTCGAACTCTCGTTTTGCAT